ACATACATAGATTATTATCAGTCTTCTAGTGATGTGATATCAAACATACATAGATTATTATCAGTCTTATTGTGAAGTAATATCAAACATACATAGATTATTATCAGTCTTATTGTGAAGTAATATCAAACATACACAGATTATTATCAGTCCTATTGTTATATAAAATGTACATAGATTGTTATCAGTCTTATTTTGATGTAATATTAAACATAGATAGATTATTATCAGTCTTATAGTGATGTAATATCAAACATACATAGATTATTATCAGTCCTATTGTGAAGTAATATCAAACATACACAGATTATCATCAGTCTTCTAGTGATGTAATATCAAACATACATAGATTATTATCAGTCTTCTAGTGATGTAATATCAAACATACATAGATTATTATCAGTTTTATTGTGAAGTAATATAACATACATAGATTATTATCAGTTTTATTGTGAAGTAATATCAAACATATGTAGATTATCAGTCTTATTGTGGAAGTAATATCAAAAATATGTAGATTATCAGTCTTATTGTGATGTAATATCAAACATACATAAATTAGTATCAGTTCTACTGTGATATAATATCAAACATAGATAGATTAACAGTTTTATTGTGATGTAATATAACATACACAGATTGTTATCAGTCTTATTGTGATGTAATATCACACAGACACAGATTATTATCAGTTTTATTTTAATATCAAACATACATAGATTATTATCAGTCTTATTGTAATATCAAACATACATAGATTATTATCAGTCTTATTGTGATTGTCTGCCTTCTCGTGGCGGAAGTGTTTTCACTGAAGTGAAAGGGCGTAAGCGCGTGACCCGCACTATAACGGGTTCGTTTGTTCATTGATCACCTAGGGGAGTTGGCTAAACCTTGATTTCAAACCAACAACGGCGGAACAGATCCAGCGGATTGAGCGGATGAGGTCAACACGACCCAACGGTCATGATGGCGGTACTAACTGCTGCATCTGGGTAGATTGGGCTCAACAGCCTTGGAAGGCAGCTCATCTAGGGGAAGGAAAACCCTGACTTCAAACCCCCGCTGCCTTGCAGATGCATCTGACCATGGAAGGCTTCAGGAGAAAACCTCAAGGAAAAATCCGGAGTCGGAGCCCCGAAGGCAGTTCGACGTTCATTCCAACCCCGTTCTGGCAGCTCCTGCGACCACGTTGACACCAAACTGTATCAGCACTGCTGTTCCTTTGGCCCCATCATCGAGGTGGAGAGGGGGGGGCAAGTTGCGTGGGCAACAGCCTGTCCCCCATATCAGAATGCCCAGGCTTACATCCGTCCCTCTCCGTAAACAGCTGAAGATCGGTGAAGAGGAATTGACGTTGGCAGCAGAAGAGAAGCGAGTGCATCAAAAGGAACAGGCACCCAACAGACCAGTGTCAATGCACATATGTGACCTCTGCAACCGGGACTGTCACTCTCGTGTCGGTCTCCTTAGTCACAAGAGACGCTGCTCTAGACAAGAGATCAACATGAGCTAACAATGGACGGATGCTCATCCATGGTCAAACCTGGCCGAAGGAGGCTTACATATATATATTATGATGTAATATCAAACATACATAGATTAACAGTTTTATTGTGATGTAATATAATATACACAGAATATTATCTGTCTTATTGTGATGAAATATCAGACACAGATTATTATCAGTTTTATTGTGAAGTAATATCAAACATATGTAGATTATCAGTCTTATTGTGATGTAATATCAAACATACATACATTATCAATCTTATTGTGATGTAATATCAAACATACATAGATTAACAGTTTTATTGTGATGTAATATAACATACATAGATTAACAGTTTTATTGTGATGTAATATAATATACATAGATTATTATCTGTCTTATTGTGATGAAATATCAGACACAGATTATTATCAGTTTTATTGTGAAGTAATATCAAACATACATAGATTAACAGTTTATTGTGATGTAATATAATATACATAGATTATTATCTGTCTTATTGTGATGAAATATCAGACATATGTAGATTATCAGTTTTACTGTGAAGTAATATCAAAAATATGTGGATTATCAGTCTTATTGTGATGTAATATCAAACATACATAGATTAACAGTTTTATTGTGATGTAACATAATATACATAGATTATTATCTGTCTTATTGTGATGAAATATCAGACATATGT